AGCTACAAAATATGCTGCATACTGAAAATAAGTATATTTGAAAATTTAAAAACCACATCAGAGAATGTATGTAGAGAATTAATTATCTAATTCTCATTAGAGAATGAAATTCAACTATTATTATCGTGGTGATTAACGCAGATAGAAAACCTACTCATAGATACAAAGGCTTTCACAATGTATCAACGGTTAATGAAGTACCTTTAGTAATAGTTTGGCAGAAATTCAAAAAAAGAAATATTTTCATTCAAAGCTACCATAATCGCCTACAAAGAAAAGTGAACTACACAAATTCTACGACAAACTTCAGTACCCTCAAATRTTTTGTTATATAGAATATGGATTCTCGATAGATATTTTACAGAATAATACTCAGATGGATGCAAATGAAAAATTTCCCTTTAAGGATTAAATTGTATCAGCTTCTGAATTTTATTCATACAGAATCATGGCTAGAAAAGAACTAGAAATCATTTGCTTCGTTATGGACCATTGTTAAACCAATATTTAGTAAATATGTACGCAAAAAAAGAGACTGGAAAATTAAATTTGATTAGAAATCATCAAAAAAAGCATAGAGCAGATAAATATATTCGTTTAAAAGATGCCGTTGGAAGACAAGACGTTGAAGCATATGACTTGGAACATAATTTGTGTTACCATCATCTTTTATGGGAGATCCACGATATATTCATGAACGATCCTAAGATGCACTGACGTACGTTCGACATTATGGAAACTAGGATTTATTCATAACTTGTAAGTGTAATCCAAAATGACAAGAAATCCAAGAAGCACTTCTACCAGAAAAATACATTACCATCGCCCAGACATCATTGCAAGAGTTTTTAATTTAAAAGTTTAGAAGTGAATGGTTGTGTCGAAAAAATGTGATTTGTTTGGGAATTTGAGGTACCATATTTATTTCATTGAATGTAATAACCGAGGCCTACCTCACGTACACACATTGCGATGGTTGGAGAATCGAATATCATCAGATATGATAGATAAATTCGTGTGTGCCGATATTCAGAATCCAGTTATAGATCCTTTATTGTACKAGATAGCAAAGGCTAACATGATACATGGCACACGTGGACTTTTAAACATAAATTCTCCTTGTATGAAAGAAGGTATTTGCAGCAAACGTTATCCAGTTACCCTCATTAAATAAACACAAAGAGGAGAAGAAGGCTATCCAAAATATATTGAAGGTGATCTATAAATAATAATAGTTTCAAAGTGAATATTAAGTCGATTGACTTGGATAAAATGTGGGTTGTTCCATACAACCAAGATTTGTTGCGTACTTTTATTGCTCATATACATGTTGAGATAACCAGTTTAATAAAGTCAATAAAATATTTATACAAACATATCACAAAAGGTGGCGATCACTCAGTGTTTGGTTTAGGGAAAACTTACAATACAGATAAAATAAAGATATATGAAAGTGGCAGGTATATCAGTAGTTTCAAAGCTTGAAAAATTTTAAGTTTTCATATACACGATAGGTATACAGCTATTACTCATCTTGATATTCACTTACAAAATGGAAAACGTGTTTACTTTACAGCAGATAATGTCACAGAAAGAATAGAAAAACGACCTACAACTTCTCTTCAGGTTTTTTTTCTGATATGTCAAACCGATGATTTTGAAAGAACATTGGTTTATCCACAAGTTTCTTTGTGTTATGTGTGGATAAATAAGAAATTTTTTAGAYGTAGATATGACCAGAATGTCAAAAGATGGTCTGGAGTAACGAAAGATACACCTCTGGGTACATAGTGTTTATATATTATCTACCSAAAGAATGTTGGATGTTACTATCTTCGTCTTATTCTTCATCACGTAAAATGACCAACATCGTATTCATTTTTGACAACACCGAATATCCAACATTTCAAGCATTATG